TCAGAGCTCTTGGGTGTCCAGGTGTATTGTAATGAGCAGTAATACTTTGAAGGAATCTCTTTTTTTCTTAGCAGTAGGTCACAACATTTGGCTTAAAATATCGAGTAAACAATAGATGTGCTGTCATCAGACTTTGTTGTTCCATTTATAAAGCAAAGACAGAGCTGATTTAGCGTAATTTAAGGGCCTTAGATTTTTGGAATATTAAATGAGCATTGGCTTCAATTTTAAAGTCACCAGCTGCATTAGCCCCTAACAAGAGAGTCAGTCAGTCCTTTGAAGCTTTGAAGCCAATCATTGACTTCTCTTTTCTCGCTATGAAAGTCCTACATGGCATCTTCTTCCAATATAAACCTGTTTCACCTGTATTGAAAGTTTGTTGTTTAGTGTAGCAATCTTCATTAATTATCTTAGTTAGATCTTCTGGATCACTTGCAGTACTTGATGCTTCTCCTTGTACTTTTATGTTATGGAGATCACTTCTTTCTTTAATCCTCATTAACCAACCTCTGCTAGCTTCAAACTTTTCTTCCGCAGTTTCCTTCACCTCTATCACTCATCGTAGAATTAAAGAGAGTTAGGTCCTTGCTCTAGATTAGGCTTTGGTTTAAAGGAATGTTAAGGTTGATTTGATACTTTTTTCCAGACACTAAAACTTTCTCCATAACAGCAAGAAAGCTGCATTGCTTTCTTATCATTCATGTGTTCACTGGACTAACATTTTTAATTTTCTTCAGGAACTTTGATTTTGCATTCACAACTTAGCTAACTGTTTGGCACAAAGGTCTAGCTTTTGATTTATGTCAACTTATGACATGCTTTCCTCACTAAGCTTAATTATTTTTAGCTTTTGATTTAAGGTGAGAGATATGAGACTCTTCCTTTCATTTGAACACATAGAGACCATTGTAGGGTTATCAATTTGCCAAATTGCAATATTCCTTGTTCTCAGTGAATAGGGAGGCTTGAGGAGAGAGAGAGAGAGATTTGGGAACAGCCAGCTGGTGGAGGAGTCAAAACACTCACAACATTTATTGATTATATCTGCCATCTTTTATGGGCATGGATCGTGGTGGCCTAAAACAACTGCAGTGGTAACATCAGTCACTGATAACAGATAATCATAACAAATATAATTGTGAAAAAGTTTAAAATATTGTGAAAATTACTGAATTTTGACACAGAAATACAAAGTGAACAAAATCTATTGGAGAAATAGCACCAATAGACTTGATCTACACAGGGTTGCAACATACCTTCAATTGGTAAAAAAAAAACACAGATTCTGTAAGGTACAATAAAATGGAGCATGAAGTATGCTTGTATTGTATCCTTCAGCACCACAATTTCTTTTGTTTGCTATTTATAATTGCTGTCTGTTGATATTCTCATTGTGTTCATGTCATTTTCCTAAGTCACTTTCATTCTTTATCCATTTTTCCATTTAGCTTCTTCAGCATATTTAATACAGTTATTTAAAAATAATATTGAGCAGCAGGGTTGCTGGTTCGATTCCCGGCCCGAACTGAGCTGCCGCTGAGCTGCCAACAGGTGGCAGGATGGCTCAGCTAAAAATAATAATAATAATAATAATATCCTGTCACTTCATTTTCTTTTTTTTTTTAAATTAAAGTTTATTGGGGTGACAACTGTTAGTAAAGTTACATAGGTTCACATTATGTGTTCACCACCCAGAGTCAGTTTTTTTTTCCATCACCATATATTTGACCCTGTTTACCCTCATCTACCACCCCCTTTCCATCTTACTCTCTGGTAACCGCTGAACTATTGTCTGTGTCTATGAGGTTTTGTTTCTTTATTTATTTGTCTTGTTCTTTTGTTGTTTTCAGTTATAAAACTGTTATATATATATATATGATAGATATATATATATATATATATCATATATATATTATATATATATATCACATATCAGTGAATTCATATGGTTCTTAACTTTTTCTGTCTGATTTATTTCACTTAGCATAATTAACTTTCTCCCTTTAAATGAACCATGTTTTCATGTTTCTTTTTTATATCTTGTAATTTTTGTTGTTGAAAGCTGAACCTTTGAAAAAACTTTTCCCAGTGTTTGCAGACTGCCTCTGAGCTGAGGCAGTCCTTGACTAATTTGTTTGGTAGGTGTGAACCTTAGGATCAGCCTAAGGAGAAAGCTTGTGGTCTTCTGATATCTGTCATGCGCATGCATCTTTCCTAGACCTTCAGGCAGCTCTCAGACAGGTTGTAATATTGAAAATATGGTTTCCCCTGCTCCCTTCAGTTCAAGGGAGGCAATTGGGAACCCATCTGCTGCCGTCTCCAGAGAAAGACTGTGCCATGCCAGGGAAGGAGTAGGGCAAGAAGCAACATTTTCTACCATTTTGAATGTGGCTTTTCCTTGATTGGAATTTGCTTCATTGTCATAGACCTTAGATGGCTTCCAGAGCTCCGATAGGTTTTCTTTCTTTCCTTCCTTCCTTCCTTCTATCTATCTTTCTTTCTTTCTTTCTTTCTTTCTTTCTTTCTTTCTTTCTTTCTTTCTTCCTTTCTTTCCTCCTCCCTCTCTCTCTCCCTCCTTCCTTTTTCCCTCACTCCCTTCCTCTCTCCCTTCCTTCCTTCCTTCCTTCCTTCCTTCCTTCCTTCCTTGCTTTTTTCCTTCTTTCCTTTTTTTCTTCCTTTTTAAAACTATCACTAAGGAAGAATAAGATTTGGGGCTTTCTAGTGCATTACTTTGCTGATGTCACTCTCCAGACTTTTGCCCCTAGGATTAGGTAACGCTTGTAATTGTCACTGGTGTACTTTGCACATGATCATTTAAATCCTACATTGATGGGTCGCTGATGGCCACTGGAGGAATGCTGGCCTCAGTTTTTGGTTCTTTTGAGAAATCACATTGTCTCACATTTTCTGAACCTAAAAATAACTTTTACTTTAAATCCAGTAACAACCATGTATTTTTAAAAAATGAATATGTACAATTTTGTTTGTTTGTTTTATTTGTCATTTTAGATTCTCCACCCAAGGAGTTTTCTACAGAAATCTATTCTGCTATAGTGACAGGAATACAAAGCTGAATTATCTTTCTTATCTCATAATAAATAAAAAAATATCCATTTCAGAGAGTTTGATGATGAACCATTATTTTCTTTATATTAGTCTTATATGGAGATAAATAAATTTTGTGGTTTGTAGCTAGATTCTTACTTTAGGTGGTGTTTCTGCCTAGCCTTCCTGCATGACGCAACAGAACTAAGCATGTTAAATCAGAAAAATTATTTCATTACACAGAAACAATACCAATAATACCAACAATACCTCCTCAACTTCTTTCTAGTCTGGCTCAAAGAATTTATTTCACTGTTCTGAGAATTAGGTTTATCTTCTTCTGGAAAAGAGCTCTGCAAATTATAATATATCTAGATTCTCTGCCCAAGTTCTAGTTAGGTATGAGGGGATCACTCTAACAGAACAGATACATTTCTAACTATAGCAGTACTAGTGTGTATCCAGAGCTAGAACTTTTAGACTATTATCATAATCTCTCAAAATAACCTATCTATTTGTCATCAGTATATTTCCTTCTAAGTCTTAAACAGAGGTATATGTTGCCATAATTCTCAAACACTATTAATAATATATTTTTCCACACTCAGTAATGTTTAGCAAAACCTAAGTGAGCAGATTCACTCTCTGACCTTAATAATTATATAGTATATTATGGTCATATATTTTTTAAGAGGAAAGAATCCCCCAAAATATTGTCAATATTATTTAGAAAACATTTTTATAGAAAAAATAATATTTTCAATTACATGTTCTTTGCTCTGTCATCAGTCAGTCTAGTGCTTTCTATCAGTTGCAATAAACATGTCTTTTTTGTTTTGTTTTGTTTTAGTTTGAAGCATAGTACTACATAATATTATAAGTTGAAAGAACTCTGAAAAAAATTAATATTCTATACTTTGGAACATTATGTTTAGCTTTTCATATCTCAGTTAATTATATTATGACCAAGAGACTTAGACAAGCCAGAGCCCTTGGTGTCATTGACCCAGCTCATCTCTCTCTTCATCATCCATATGCAATCTATTATTAAATTATAGTTAAATTTTTAAGTATATCTCAAAATATGCTGGTTTCCATCTATGCCACTACTACTCAATTTCACTTTAAGGTTATCATTTTCCTGGACTAGTGTAATGGCATTCTAATTTGTTGCTACTTTTCTTTTTTGCCTTTCCATCCTCTCTTTCAAAACCTACTTCTATCAGCTTCTCATCTTCCAATTAAATGTCTAAATGCAAACAATTGCTTATAAGTTATAGGCCAACTTTCTGATTAAGACTGGAAGGTCCTACACAATCCTGCCACAACAACTTCTGTCACATCACACTTAGCTTTTTTGTTTCTGTGCATGTTTCTATATCTTTTATTGCAATATCAACAATATGAAATTTTTCTGTTCACTACTGTGTTCTCAGAACAGGCACATTGTAAGACTCATATATTTAGTTAATTAATGATTTAATGGTTGTTCTCTGTGTAACAGCTACATTGCCCTTAATATTTCTGAAAAGTTTCATACCATGTTCCAATGCAAAGTCATTTTAAATATCATTTCTTTACCCATAAGTACCTTGTCTTTCATTTCTGTGTTTCATTAAGTTCTGTTCAACATTAGGACTCAAGACGGTTTTGCTATTCTCACATATTAGATAAATTCTCTGTATCTTATTTTTTATTATACTAATTATCACATATTTATCTTTGTTTTTATTTATTTCATGTATGTACCTTCTATCTCAATGTAAGCAAGGAAGATGCCTTTATTGTTTTGTTTACTCTCAGATCATCAGAGTCTCATCTAGTGCAGAAAACAGCACCAGCATAATCACTTATTGCTAGTATGTTAATATTTATTGTTAAATGAGCCCCTCTTAATTAGATGCCAAATACAGATGACATTTCAGTTGACTTATTTTGGCTTATTTCCTTTTTAGGTGTGCAAGAATAAGGAATGTGTAAATAATTACATCATTTATGAATGTGATTCACAAAAATGCAACTCTCAGGGTGTAAGTACCAGTATTATGAGTCAAGAACACAAATCACTGAGAGTGATTCTAGGAAACCAAACACACAGCTACACACACACACACACACACACACACACACACACACACACACACACACACNCACACACACACACACACACACACACACACACACACACACACACACACACACTCATCAACCACATAAATAAATCAGCCTTATCTGACTTAGGTATTATTTTAAAACTATACTTGAACACAAATAATTTGAGCTACTTATCTTACAAGGTGCTATTTCTCCCTTTTACAGGTGTGTAATAATAAAAAGAACTGTCACTGTAGCGCCACATTTTTACCTCCAGATTGCCAAAAAACAGATATTTCATGGCCTGGTGGGAGTGTTGACAGTGGCAATTTTCCACCTCCGTCAGCACGCAATCCTGGTAAGTATTAATAACAAATTGAAAAGATAATTAAAACAATGTTTTAATTTATTAAATTAAATAAAAATATCTTGTCTACCAATTTATATTTAGATTATATTTGGACATCAAATAATAAATTATATATGGCTATGTAATTTATGGTTTACTTACAGAGAATAATGTAATACAAGATACGTAACATATATTATAGATGAGGTATATGAGTAAGGACCCAGGCAGAAACACAGAAATCGCATTCCTTCATATGGAAGTAATTTAATATAAGGCACCAGGTAAGACATAATGACAGAGTTGAAAACTAATTACAGAACGGTAAGGCAAACCAGAGATTAGCAAGAGCAGGAATCCACTATCACTTCTTGTAGTTGGAGGGGCAATAGAAGGAGGTGGTATTTCTAGAACCAGAGTCTGAGCCATCTAGCATGACATATAACTCTGGTCAAAGCTACATATCAGGATCTAGACCACAGGGAGAGGTACTGTCCAGCATGACATAGACGTATAGAGCATTCACAGCCACCATTGGAGACGTAGGAGAGGAAGTAGGTAAATACCATGGCTATTTTACTCTTCTGACTCTCAAATTTTATCCAGTGGCTTCCATTGGCCAAATCTAATGAAAAGACAGAAAGTTAAGGAGCTTTAAAATGTGTAGTTTCCTATTTCTAAAAAAAATGAAGTTCATTGAGGTGACATTAGTAAAATTATACAGGTTTTGAGTGTACAATTCTATAATACATCATCTATACATCACATTGTGGTCTCACTATTGAGAGTCAGTTCTCCATCACCATATATTTGACTCTTTACCTGCTTCTACCATCCTCTCTCCCCTCTTACCCGCTGGTAACCACTAAACTGTTGTTTGTGTCTATGAGTTTTTGTGTCTATGTTTAATTCTCTTGTTCCTTTGTTGCTTTCAGTTTTATATCCCACATATGAGTAAAATAATATGGTTCTCAACATCTGTCTGACATATTTTGCTTAGCATAATAATCTCAAGATCCGCCTATGTTGTCAGAAATGGCAGTATTTATTTCATCTTTTCTTATGGAAGAGTAGTATTCCATTGTGTATATATACCACATCTTCTTTATCCAATCATTTATTAAAGGACACTTTAGCTGTTTCCATGTCTTGGTTGCTATAAAAAATGCTGCAGTGAACATCGGAGTACATGTGTCTTTACAGATAAATGTTTTCAGATTTTTGGGGGTAGATAGCCAGCAGAGGGATTGCTGGGTCATATGGTAATTCCATTCTTAATTTTTTAAGGAACCTTCATTCTGTTTTCCATAATGGCTATACCAATTTGCATTCCCACTAACAGTGTGTGAGGGTTCTTTTTGTCCACAGCCTCTCCATCACTTGTTGTTATTTATCTTGTTGATGATAGCCATTCTAACAGATATCTCATTGAGACTTTTTTGTTGTTGTTGTTGTTGTTGTTTTAATTTGCATTTTCCTAATCGAGGCAGCCATGATAGGGCAACAAAAGACACTCACAAAAGAGGACTTCTAGAACTGCTTCAAAAAGTAGCAAGAATGATGGGATAAGTGTGTTTGAAGTGAGGGGGAGTATTTTGAGGGAGAGATTAATGGCAGTGTGTCTTTTACTGTAATAAATTGTTTTACTTTAAACATTCATCATATTACTTGATCACATTTTGTATGCTGCGAGTTGATTTCTGAATTCTCTCTTTTTTCTTTAATATTTTAATCTTTACCCTTTATGTTATGTTTAAGTGTATAGTTCTTTATTTTGTGTAGGGCTTGCTGCTTTCTGTTTCTGTCTGTCTGTTAGTAATCTTGCTCATGGTTTTATATTCTTTTGGGTTTTTTTGTTTGTTTGTTTGTTTGTTTCAGGGTTGAATAGCCTTCTTCAGTATTTCTTGTAATGCAGGTCGTGTGTTAGAAAATTCCCTCAACTTCTGCAAGTCTGGAAAGGCCTTTATTCCTCCTTCATATCTAAAGGATATCTTTGCTGGATATATTGTACTTGACTAATAATTTCTCTCTTTCAATAGTTTGAATATTTGATTTCGCTCCCTCCTGGCTTGTAGAGTTTCTGCTGAAAAGTCTGATCATAGTCTAATGGGCTTTCCCTTATTGGTTACTGCTTTTTGCCCCCCGACTGCCTTGAGGTTTTCTTTGTCATTAATTTTTGACAACTTCAATATAACGTGCCTTGGAGACAGCCTGTTAGGATTGAGGTAATTAGGTATTGTGTTTCCTTCTTTGATTTGAGAATCAAGTTCTTTCTAGTGTTTTGGGAAGTTCTAATCAACTATTTGTTTGAATATACTCTGTTTCCTTCTCCATCTCTTCTCTTTCTGGTATACCCATTATTCTGTTTTTTTTTCTGATGGAGTCAGAAAGTTCTTATAGAGTTTTTTCATTTCTTTTAACTCTCAAGGCTCTCTCTTCTTCCATCTATGTCATTTCCAGAATTCTATCTTTTATATATACATATAAAGATTTTATTGGTGAATTGGGGGAGGGGAAGAGCATTGGGGAATCGGGGAAGGGGAACAGACAAGTTGCTGTCCTTTTGTTCTTCAGTCTAGTTGTGAAGGACATCGCTTCACTGGCATATGTTGGTATTATCATTGTGCTCTTCCTGGGTGAGGCAGTCGCTCACCAGCCATTGGACCACCACTCACAGGGGCTCACGGCAGCTCACGCTGGCTGCCAGACACTCACAGTAGCTCACGGCAGCCCACTGCAGCAGGGGCTGCAGCCTATGACGTCACCAGCGACTCATGTCGGCCCAGCTCCAGGTTGAGCTGTTGTTCACCATTTTAGCTGTAGAGGGTGAAGTGTCACTGGTCCTCATGTGGGATCTGAACCAGGACCCTGCTGCTCAGTGCTGGCATCCCAAGCTGACACTTAACCAACGCACCACTCAGCCGGCCCCAGAATTCTATTTTTGATACAACTAATTTTTCCTCCACCTGCTCAATTGTATTACCTAAGCTGGTTATTTTATTCTTCATTTCTTTTGTTGAGTTATTCATCTCCAGAATTTCAATTTTGTTCTTTGTTAAATTTTCAGTCTTTTGGGGAAAATATTCATTGTATTCATTGAGGGTGGAGATGAGCTCTGGGAGGGTGAGGGGGACATGGGCAGGGGGCAGCTGGCCAGGCTCTGTGTCATTGTTTTCTGTTTTTACTTGGCAGTGAGGGCTTAAACCACAGTTCTCATTCTTCTGTAGTCAGTCTTTGCTCCATGGTCTCTGCCCTGAATTCTGGGTTCAGCTGTATTATATGCTGTTCTGTCAGGCAGGACTGTGGGCCACAGGAGTGTGCCTACAGCCTGAATTCTTCCCTCTTCCAAGTCGGCAGTGAGCTCCAGACTGCATCCTGCATCCTGCAGCCCACAGCCCACATTTCTGCAGTTCCATTTTCCCCTCTCCCCTGCAGGCCTGATTTGCCCACCTTCAGGTAATTCAATGTGCAGATCCCTCAGAAGTGATTGTGTGTTGTTTAGGTTATTCTTTGTTGAATTATAGCTGTTCAATTTGTTGTGACTTCCAGGGGAGATTTCAAGAAACACTCTTCACACCGCCTTTTTTGTGACATAATCCCCTAAAGTTTTTTGTTCAAAGAAGAGATAGACTTTAGAGCAAGTCAGAATATCCAATGATACTTAAGGCCAGACTTGCTTTATATAAAATCTAAATTTACATATAATTAAAACAGATTTTTCCAGATTTTGGGCCAGAAGTACGTCTTAACATTTCCACATTTATTTCATTGTTTAAAATATTATATTTAAGGCTATATGGTAATAGATTAGTAAGTTATAACATTATAAAATATTTCAGGCATTATCAAGCTATTTCCATTTTAGTACTAACAATTAGCTTGCAGTAGCTTATGTCAAATTGAGTGCAATTAATTGCTCCTGTTCATGCAAACACATGCCATTTCCCCAATGAGTCGAGGAGGCTACTCTTTTACTTCATATCCAGGTTGATCTCAGTGGTATGAATAATCAATAAAATGTACAGAAATGAGATTCTGGAATGTCCATGGTCTTCCTGAAGATTCTGACTGTTTCTTTAGAATACGAATTCCTGGAACTCTTATTATTGGAACACTTATTCTGTTGAAAATCATCTGCTCTATATGAAATTTGACTACATTGAGACACAAAAATACAACCACACAACTAAGCCCTTCCCAAATTACTGACCCACAGAATGAACACAATTAAATAATTTTTTAAGTTTAGTAACTGAAAAAATCTGGAGCTAGTTTCTTGCACAGCTCTCTCTGTCCCTTTCTCTCTCTCTCTCTTTCTCTCTCTCCTCTCTCTCTCTCTCTCTCTCTCTCTATATATATATATAGATAGATAGATAGATAGATAGATAGATAGATACATAGATAGATAGATAGATAGATAGAGATAGATAGATAGATAGATAGATAGATAGATAGATAGATAGATGACAAGAATCTGAAATATGTGGCATATGACAAGAATCTGAAATATGTGGCATTAGCTTTGGGATTGGATGGTAGAAATACCTCTAAACTGTTGAAGACTATTAGTATATGGTGAAGTTGTCTTAAGAAGACTGTGAGCAATTCAAAAGCATGTTATCAGAAGTTGGAAAAATTGGGCTGGCCGAGTGGCATGTTGGTTAAGACCTGGCTTGGGATGCCAGAGGGCCCCGGTTAGGATCCCACATATGAGAGTCAGTGACACTGCCCTCTTCAGCTAAGATGGTGAACGGCAGCTCGCCCTGGGGCTGGGCTGCCGTGGGTTGCCGGCGTCGGCGTAGGCTGCAGTCCCCTGCTGCAGTGGGCTGCCATAAGCTACAGTGTGTAGCCGGCAGCCAGCATGAATGGCCAGCAGCTGTGGTGAGCGGCCATCCAGAGGCCGGCGACTGATCTGCCTCGCCCAGGAAGAGCGCAGTGATGGTGCCAGCTTGGGCCAGTGAAGCAACATCCTCCACAACTAGAATGAAGAACAAAAAACAACAGCAACTTGTGTGTTCCCCTTCCCCCAATTCCCCAGCGCTGTTCCCCTCCCCCAATTCCCCAATAAAATCTTAAAAAAAAAAGTTGGAAAAATTATTTTTATTATGAAATGTTGAGTTATTTGGCATAATTGCTGCCTGTGGTAATGTGGAAAGTAGAATTCATGGTTCTGGTTGGCAAGATTTCCAAGTAGATGACTTACTTGAATTACCTATAATAAAATATAAGAAGATAGTAATAATTAATGAAAATTTATTTTCAAGTAAAATGTAGAGCAAGTGTAAAAGAACTAGGATTTTCTTGTTTGTTTGTTTGTTTGTTTGTTTGTTTGTTTGTTTGAAAATGAAACTAGCTCTCCTTCCTGGTGTGTCCCAGCAAAATATTCTTAAAGTAAGAAATGTCACACAGCCAAATTTGGAATATCGAGCAATGAAATTTGATCTCAGATAAAAATTAAATCAAACATGTGAGTGACTGTAAACCCCACGATGAAAACCTCAGAAATACTTACAGTGATGCCTCTTAGGTATCTTCATCTAAACAAAAGCCCTTCTAAGTATTGTATTGGAATGTCCATAAAAACTCTTAAACAATAAGGCTACTAGGAATATTAAATAGGTTATTCTGTGGTAGCCTCACCAGGGCCCGATACAGAAAAAGGCTTATCTCAGAGACTTGTGGATGTGGTTTTTATTTAATGAAATGTATTTTTATTATTATCATTATTCTTTGAATTTTTATAAGAGTTTTTTTGAGCCAAACTGACAGACAACATATGCTGGGGAGCAATATCTTAAATGCTCCCTGAAGTGTATTTTTATTTGATACATGAGAAATTCATACATTTTTAAACAAGTTATATCAGTTCAGACTAAAAGAGACATCAATAGTACATATGTCCCAATCAATTATGGGAAAGTAGCTGCTTAGATATAAAAAGAGTTATTTCTAATGGAAAATGAATTATAAATTAAAGGGTATAACCAATAAACCAGAAGCCAAAACTTTGATTTGGGGGTTTATGTTTTTAAAAAATTATCACCAACAAAAACACAGATCTAGATGGTAAAAATACAGGTTTATTTTACCAATTTTTTTCAAGGGAGAAATGTCATTTTTAGAAAATAGTGGTGGGAAGGACTCTTATCTTCACATTGTATAAGGAAAACAACCCTAATGCAAAATCCAGACAAAGAAGTTAACAAAGAAAAAAAATTACAGAATAACTTATTTCATGAGCATAGATGTAAACATTCTTCACAAAATATTAACTCATGCTATATAACTACCGTATTTGCCGGCGTATAAGACGATTTTTTGGCCCTGAAAAATATGCCTCCAAGTGGGGGGTCGTCTTATACGCCAGGTACACTTCAGATAGACTGCCCATAGTGCTTGCCCCATGCCATAGTGGCCTCCCGATGCCCGCCCACTTCATTCCACATACCGTTCAGGCATCAGCAGCGCTGCTGGGTGTATGCTCGGCTGTTATGCGATTTTGCTGTTATGCGATTTTACCACACTCGCAAAATCGCACACAGCCGACCATATAACAAACTCTGTATTTTGAGTGGAAATGTTAGGGGGTCGTCTTATACGCCGAGTCGTCTTATACGCCGGCAAATATGGTACCTATATTAAAAGGATAATAATTCAGACTACATGTGGTTTATCTTAGGAATCCAAGACTCTTATCATTTGAAAGTCAATCAGAAAAAAAAAGTCAATCAGTGCAATTCACCAAATCAACATTTTTTAAAGTATATGATTTTTCACTTTATCATAAAAATCATTAGTAAAATTCACCATATTTTCATAATTTTTAAAAAAGCAGCAAACCAGTAACATAAAGAAACTTCACTACCTGATAAAAAGCATCAACAAAAACATAGTTAATATATTTTATGATGAAATGCATTATTTTTCCCAAAATATTGAGAGCAAGAGAATAAAGTATGCTCTTACCATATTTACTCAACATTTTACATAAGTCCTCACCAGTGCAATAACCAAAGAACAACAGATCAGGACCATAAAGATTGGAAAGAATGAAATGAGACTATAGATGATACGGTTACTTACATAGAAAGTCCTAAAGAATCTACAAAAATACTTCCAAAAGTAATGAATATTTTTTGAAAGTTCAAAGGAAAAAAGTTCAAAATTCAGTAGTATCATTATATAATAGCAGCAATAAATTAAACTCAACTTAAAATCAGTACCACGTATAATACTATTAAAATATAAAATATTAGGAATAAATTTAACAAAAGATGTGCAAGACCTTTACACTGAAACTGAAACAAAATGTGTATATATATATATATATATATATATATATATATATATTAAGCATACAAATACAAGGAGAAATATGCCATATTCACCTATTGGAAGGTTTATTATTGTTAAAATGTAATTTTCATCAAATTAAAAAACTCAATCATAAAAGCATGTGACTTTTTGACATTAACAATTTGATTTTAAAATATAGAAAAAAGTACTTAGAGTAGCCAAACAACCATGAAAAAGAACAACAAAGAATGACAAAAAGAACAACTTTGTCTATTTGCCTTATATTGAATTTAGTATAATATGAATTTAGTATATAGTTACATTAATCAAGGCAGTGTGGCATTTGTTAAGGACAAATATACAAATAGATCAATGAAATTAAATAGTCTAGAAATTTACCCATTAATATAAGGTTAATCAATTTTTCAAGAAAAGTAGAAAGATAGTTCAATGCGGAAGGAAAATGAGTTCAAAACATTGTTCTGCAACAAATGGATATCCACACAAGCCCCAGAGAACCTCAAAAATCTCAACTTGCTCAACAATTCATGTGGCATACATCATAAATCTAAATGTAGAAGCTAAAACTATAAATCTTCTTGAAAGAAACACAGGGAAATTTTTACATGATCTTGGGATCAGCAATAATTTCTTAAATAAAAATATATATCAATGCAATAAAACAAAAGATAACTTGGACTTTATTACAATTTTATTATATGTACAGTATTTCTTACTAAAAAACGAGATTGAGAAAAACACAACTTTTACAGGGATCACACTTAATCCTTTTCATTTATATTATCATACAGTTCTGAAAAGAGGCTACCTAGAATAGAAGTTCTCAATAAAAAGAAAAGGGTAGAACTATTATTGTTAGAATTAGAAGAGTCTTTTTGGGTGCTTACATTGTCAACTTGTCTACTTCATTAAGAATGTTAATTATAAAATTGTTAAAATCTTTGTTCTACTAGTTATATTAAAATACAGAAATATCTTTGCTGTATTCCTGGTAATTGCTTTCAAATCACTGGTGTTTTCTTTCCTAGAAAGTCTCTATATTGAGAATGTTTACCACTCCAAACCTACGAGATGGCCAATTTTCCTACTCATTCCGTTTTTCGTTATTCTCTGTGTATTCACAATCCTGGTAAAGGTTTATTTTCAAAGGAAAAAACGGAGAACTGAGGAGTATTCAAGCGATGAGTATATAAATTTCATATTTAAGATTCATTACTTTTATAATTTGTTAGCATAATAGTAATGTATTAATAAGTAGCATCATGATAATGTTAATAGTAACAATACAGGTTTAATTTTTATCTTCATATGGACATTTAATAGTTAATATATCAATGATTAATGAATAATGAATAGAATTTTTTAAAAGGTCAAAAATTTTAATCTTATAACAACTTGGATTCTGTTAAGGTTAAAATTAAGTAGAAATGATTTTTAGTTGATGTTTACCTCCTCTTATTAATTAATCTTAATTATTAAAATGTATTAAACACTATTATTAATATGAATATATTTCAAAAAGTTTTTCATGCACTACTTTATTAAAAGGTAGCAGGGAAATCCAGGAGAGTAGTTAGCCTTTTATGCAGTTAAATAAATTGAGAGACAAGCAGCCAGAGATAGAAAAAATTTTAACATAATATATAATAGTAAGATTGAAAAAAATCTAGATTGTATCCATGGCTAATCTACAGAAAAAATAAAACAAGTAATTTTTCATTAAAACACCTTAGAAATATTTGAAAAATTCAAGAATAAAAATAAATATTAAATTTGGTTTCCTTCTCTTTAGGGAAATTGATATAAAATAATGTCTGTTTTTGAGTTTTATATCTGGGTCCTCCATTTTACTTAAAATGAATTTTATTATAATATTTAAAGATGAGAAGATTATATAAATTAAAAGGGAATACATTTGATAGAAATATTTTGAAAAGTTTATGTAAAATTGCTCAAATAATATGCAGCATGTATAACAGTTAACTGTATTAACATTCAATTAGTACTTAAACATATTAAAGGGATTTTTCTTTTTTTGTTTTTTTTTAAGATTTTATTGGGGAATTGGGGGAGGGGAACAGCACTGGGGTATCGGGGGAAGGGGAACAGACAAGTTGCTGTTGTTTTGTGCTTCAGTCTAGTTGTGGAGGATGTTGCTTTACTGGCCCAAGTTGGCACCATCATTGCTCTCTTCCCAGGTGAGGCAGAACAGTTGCCGGCCTCTGGACGGCCGCTCACGGCAGCTGCTGGCCACTCACACTGGCAGCCAGCTACACACGGTAGCTTACGGCTGCCCGCTGCAGCAGGGAGCTACAGCCTTCGCCATCGCCAGCGACCGACAGCAGCCCAGCTCCAGGTTGAGCTGTTGTTAAGCATCTTAGCTGCAGAGAGCAGTGTCACTGGTCCTCACTGTGGGATCCGAACCGGGGCCCTCTGGTGTCCCAAGCCAGTTCTTAACCAACGCGCCACTCGGCCAGCCCTAAAGGGATTTTTCTTAGATTGTATGATTTCATTGTGATAAAACTGACATCAAATATCTTTGCTAGTAAAAAGCTAGTAGAATTACTAGAAATAAATAGGGCAGAAGATGAATAGCACAAATGTTTAAAGATAGTTAGCTAATATGTTATGAATATGAAAATGATCTGAGTTCATTTTTAGGTAAACTTACCTGACTGTGCATTTTCCTCATGTTAGTCTTGATTACCAGCTGAGAGATGTTCTCAGTGGTAAGATGTTCTCAAGAAGTGGCTGCTCCCAGATATCATGAAGCATTCAAAAGTTTCAGTACTGACAGATAGTACAGAGTGTCATAGAATATTTAAAGAAAACATAATAATAAACTGATTATATTTATTTTTAAATATATAGGCAATTTGAAAGTGAGAGTGAACCTAAAGAGTAGCCTAGAAAACAGAGAATCCATAATATCACAGTGAGTATCAAATATTTTAAGGATAAGACAGAGAGACAGAGAAATTTTAATGTATTAGATAAATAATATAAATATATATTAAATGATGGTAATCATATAAATGCATACAATTTAAATTATATTGGGGGATATTTTTCAGTAATGCAAGCTACATCATAGACATAGTAAACTATAAATTACATTCATCATTTAAAATTTTTGCAGTGTTACCTTTTAAATTTTTTCTAATAATGTTTAATTCTTTAGCATTTGCATATTCAAAATGTTGGTTAAAAATTAGTGAGATGATCTTGACAAAATTGCCAAAATAATTCAATGGGGGCAGGAACAGTCTTTCAACAACTCGTGCTGGAGCAAGTGGATATATGAGTACATACTTGAAAAAGTGATGTTGAACTACTTCCTCACATCACACATAAAAATTAATTCAAAATAGGATGAGAGACCTAACTGTAAAACTAAAAGTCTTAGAAAAAGACATATCAGTAAATCTTTGTTACTTTGACCTTTTGATAGCACAAACAACAAAAGGAAAAATAGATAAACTGGACTTCATCAAAATAATAAAAAATCTTTTATTTTTCAAAGGACATCATCACAAAAGGAAAATATTATCCACAGGATGGGGGAAAATATTTTCAAATCTTATATCTGAATCAGACACTTATATTCAGGATATATAAATAACTCTTGTAGCTCAACAATAAAAAGACAATCCAATTTTAAAATGGGCAATGGATCTAAACATATTACCAAAAAAGATATACAAATTCTCAATAAGTACATGAAAAGATATCAACACTATTAGCCAACAGGGAAATGCAAATCAAAACCACAATGAGGTACCACTTCATATCCACTAATGTGGCTATATCAAAAAGCCAGATAATGACAAATGTTGGGAAAGATTTGGAGAAATTAGAATTCTCACACACTTCTGGTAGAAATGTAAAATGGTACAGCCATTTTGAAAAACATCCTGGTAGTTCCTCAAAAATTCAACATACAATTACCTATTACCCAGCAATTTCACTCCTTAGTCACATAACTAAGACAAATGAAAACTTACACCTACACAAAAATGGATACAGAAATGTTCTTTGCAGCATTATTCATTATAGCCAAAAAGTAGAAAGAATGCAAATGGCCATCATCCTGATGAATAAATAAACAAAATGTGGTACATTCATGCAATGGAATATTATACAGGCACAAAAAAGAAGGAAGTACTGATACATACTACACATGGATGAACCTTGAAAACATGCTAAGTGGAAGAATCCAGACCAGATATTGCATGATTCCACTTATATGAAATGTCTAGAATAAGCAAACCCACAGAGATAGAAAATATATTAATTGTTGCCAGGTGCCAGAGGAAGGGGGATATGGGTATAGAATTTCTTTCTGGGATGATGAAAATATTCCAAAATTAGATAATGAGGGTTCCACAACTCTGTGAACATACTAAACCCACTAAATTATACACTTTAAAAGTATGAGTTTTATGGTATGTGAATTATATTTCAATAAAGCTGTTATAAAGAAAAGTAAAAAAAAATACAATAAATCACATTATAGAATTCTACTTCATAATTAGGTTACACTCATGCTATTTGTTGAATTAACCATCATTTTTAACTTGATTAGACAGACATACAGGTGACTTTTTCCCCTTTATTTATTCTTACAGAGTAATTCTCTTCAATGGACAGGAAAAATGGAAAAGAAAAAGAAAAAGTACATGTATTGCCTGATTGCCTGGGATTCAAAACCTGAATATTATAGTTTTGATCTGACAAGAAAAAATAGATGTTTTCATATATAATATGTTATTTATATGTTATATAACATTTATAATATATGATTCCACAGTTAACTTATTTGTAAGAAATGCATGTTTATGAGTTTTTATATTACATATTTTTAAAGTTATCTCACACTAATTCAGTTAGTCAGTAGGAAATATGTTAATCAGTAGGCCTGAGATTAGGAAAAGTTATAATATAATAAATGCAATGCCGTCATTAAAGGCTACTATTATATTTTAAATTGCAATGGTATATAGTTATGTTATAGTCTGATGGTCCATAACCAATCAAAAGAAATCATGATAGAGTTTAACATTGAAAGCATTAGTAGAGATAAAGAAGAATATATCATAATGCAAAGCATCAATCTAAGAGGAATCTACAATAATACAAATGTATTTGTTAGGGTTTTCCAGAGGAACAGAACCAATACGTGATGATGGATAGATAGATAGATAGATAGATAGATAGATAGATAGATAGATAGATAGATAGATAGATAGATGATAGATAGCTGAAGAGATTTATTATAGAAATTGGTTTACATGGTTGTTGAGACCGAGAAGTCCCATGATCTGCCATCCGCAATCTGGAGAACAAGGAAAGCTAGTGGTGTAGTTCAGTATGAGTTTCAAGGCCTGAGAATTGGGGAGTCAATGGTGTACTTTGTGGTCTGAATTCAAAAACCTAAAAACCAGGAGTGCCAATGAATGTCCAAGAGCAGCAAAAGAGAAAATTCACCCTTCCTCTACTTTTTACTCAGGCCCCCAAGGGATTGGATGATGCCCAGTTGTATTGGTGAGGATAATATTCTGATTCAAACACTGATCTCTTCCAAGATACACTCATAGACACACCCAGAAGTAATGTTTTATCAGATATCTGGGCATCCTTAAGTTGACATATAAAATTAACCATTGTAAATCTACTGCTTGTCAACTTGGCACCCATAAGCATTTCCTTAAGCCATAATTAATCTCCAAATAAAGGACATAACTCTGCCTAACATGATATAGCTCTCCTGCATACAACCGAAAATGCACTAATTTCTTCCCCAGAAAAGGAAATAAAATCCTTGAGTGATGTTTACTCTTCTCCATACACCTCATAACTTAAATACTATGATGTAATATAACAATATCAGAATACTCATATAAAGTCAATACATCTTATGTTACATGATAAGGGAGTAAAGGAAAGAAAACAAAAATATTTGGTTAATATATTCATATGTATGTGTGTGTGTGTGTGTACACACTACACACACACACACACACACAAGTGTATTCATTACAAAATGAGGAGGAAATATTCATGGCATTTCAGTCCTCCTTTCTATAACTAGTCATTGTAGCTGGTATGTATAAGTACCTTCTACTACCCATTCTGTATTCCTTTTGACTTCAACACACACCTGAATTGCTTTGATAAGCCAAAATTTTACTTCTGAAGTGTCTGGACCATTAGTAGTCCTGTCTTGATTAAGTTAGCGTAGTTGTCCAT